TGTGGGCACAACTGTACCAATATGAGATGCACAGCCAAGGAATGCGATCAAACCTGCACCAAGGGCAACTGTAAAATGTACTGTGAGTCAGGTTCAGACTTGTGCATTATGTCCTGTCCTGGTGGAAATTGTCTGCTCCACTGTGATGGAGCCAAATGTAAACGCGACTGTTCTGGCGGTAGGTGTGTGCTATCTGGATCAGGGAAAGAGGAGACGACTCCAAGACCAACAGTCACCGCGGCACCCAAGCCAAGTGGTAATGCACCAGGGCCCATGTCAGCCGCTTTGGCCTTTTTTGTTCCTTGGATAGCCTACATCTTTTCTGTGTACGAATACTAACGATCTTCACACTGATTCAATTAACTAAGAACTCTACCGTAATTTTACATCGCCGCTTTTTGTAATGAGCGCTCACAGCTGTCAGACAGGCGATATATTTTTATCCGCGTATTATATTTTAAGATAGCGCCCTCTAAAGTCTCTTCAGACCAGGAAGGGGCGGGGGACTTCTAAGCAAGGACCCCACCAACTTTGAATGCTTCTAGCTTTTAAAGGATTGCAGTAATGAACTCAGTTTAGCCGTTGGCATATGATTGGTCAATGAAGTTGATTCTCCCATGACAACCGTATTTTGACTGTCATGTTTTTCAAATTTCATTTTTTTCTGTTTTTAATTACATATCTTAGCTTTCTTGCAATAATTGACTTTTATCATTTTAGGTGAATTCAGCTTTCTTTATCGCTTTTGATTATTATTGATGACAGCTGTTTTGAGGTAATCACATAGTTTCTATGTTATGCGGCGTCTTCATTTCATGTTAAGATCTTCAAAGGAAACAATTTTGTACGTATTATAAAGCCCCACCCCCAGTCCCAAGAGACCACAAAAGGCCCGCTAAGAAAATACAGAGTTTAGTTGTTTGATAATTTTTAACCTGAAAGTTTACTGATTGTCAAACCGTTAAGTAGTTGAAGTCAAGAGTTCCACTTTTATCCAGCACGGTTCAAAATTGTGCACTAATTGGTCCTATAATCTAGCCAAATATATTCAAAGTCAGTCATAACTTTTCTTTTTTCTTGGCTGATTCTTCAGGTCCGTCTCTCAGTCGATAGTTCCTATTTCACATTGCAAAAACTCGGTCAACGAACACTGCAAGGAGGAACCATTTAGTTGAAATTTACTTTATAATGGGCTTTGCCTTGATGTAGCAGCTGGTGTTCCTAAACAACAATCATTTTCTCCTTGGCGAAATGAGTTTTTTTTTCTACAAGCATCTTGTACAAACAGTCTCTATGAAAACGCTCTACATAAGCAGCAATTTTTTTAAATTTGTGAATTAGTATTTACAGGGAGGAGTATTC